CTTCTTATCAGCTGGATGCTTCACTCTCCACTCTAGTCCTCTGTGGCTATGTCACTGACTCTGGGCCCAAGAGTCCCCAGGTCTTGCCACCTGCTGGCCGACCAGGTCTCCACCTGGGTTCACAGGAGTCTATTGAACGTTGTAGGGCTTAGGTCACAGCTTCATTGCTGTTTTTCTTTCACTTCCCCTTATCGGTGATGAACGTGATCACCAATCAGAGCGCATGTCTGCTCGTGTATTCCCACTGAGTCTTAGTCTTGGAAGGAGTTTGCTCTGAGGGGACCTGACCACTTGCCTTGATGTCTCCTGGACAAGCAACTTGCTTGTTCTTTTAGTAATCAGTTGGACTGCCATTATTATTTTGTATTTTTCCTGTTGGTCTTTCTTTCAAGAAGTATCTTCTGTTCTTCTAGCCGCTCCAGGCTGGTCTGCTTGTCCTTTCAAGTGGAAATTTCCCACCTCAGACAATTCTGGGTAAGGTTCAGGATTCCACCTATGGTCTTATGTAATTCAGAGGCTCTGTAAGGAAGCCTCCTTCACTGGGCAAATTGTAGCCTCATTTTAGGTATTCCAATCAGTTATAGGCAGAAGATGGACTTACAAGCTTTCTATTGTGATATTTCTGGTTATTCCTTTCTCTTCCCCTCAAGTGTCTATTTTATAATGGTATGCAAGGGAAACCAAGATTCAAAAGACAGCCAAACAAATTAACTATATTTCCCCCTTTTTACCCCATTCCAACGATCTCTCAATCCCTGTATCCCAGAGTCCTGTTGTTCCAAGGTTGTGCATACATCATTATTTACCTCTGTCCCACCTCCCTAGAATCTTTAAAGCAAGTTATAAAGGATGAAATAAAAAGTTCCAGGGCTGTGTGGCCAGTTAGAATATATGGTTATTGTTTCTTGGTTGTTTAAGAAAATTATAATCTTTCTTGTTCTCTGCACACTTCCACCAAACTCTCTAGGAATGTCTCATATTTTTAAGGCTGCTACATTCCTAGGTGAAGACTATATCACCTCACCTCATCTGCTATGCTCAGCAGGTGAACCGGGAGACCATCTGAGAAGGAGCTGTCAGACCCACTGGTGCTGTGTCCAGAGGGAAGAAGACAGGGAAATAACAGTTAATAGTATGCCTAGGAAGTGTAACATGTGCAGACTAACTGCTTAGATTAAGACATCTAGTCTGCTATTTGTTCACATTTTCTATGTCTCAACAGCTCAGTGACCAGCACATTCATTCATTCACTCACTCATTAACCCTGAACACCTACTCCATGCCAGGCAACGTGCTTGCTGTTGTTAGGATCCGTCGAGCATCATAGCAAGCAACTCTATGCACACGGGAATGAAGCACTGCCCGGTCTTACGCCAACCTCACAATTGCTGTTATGTTTGAGCCCACTGATGCTGCCACTGTATATGTCCAGTGTGCGATACACACATAAAAGATGAAAGCAGTAGAGCCCCCGAGCCAAGAGTTCACAATCCATGTCTCAATACGAATACTGGCCAGATTGGAGTGGTTGGGAGGGGTCACAGGATTCTCAGTGCACCGCCCGAGAGAAGACTGGTGACTGTTGTTTGTCTGGGAGCACTCTGACCAGTACCAACTCAGAAAGCCAGGAGCCTATTGGCCACTGTATAGTAATTTACTGACTAAACAAACAGATTCAATAATAAGGAAATCTACAAGTCAGAGACCAGGAGTATTACTTTCATCATTTCAGTTCTCCTTTCAAAAGTTTTGGATGTATATCTAGACCAATCTAAAGTCACTGCCCACAAACTGTCTCCTCTCCTTTTATCTCCTCATTCTCTCAAGTCCTAGATCCAATCCCTGAATAAATCCTAATGGCTGTAACTTGAAAAAATATTTAGAACACGACCCGCTCACACCACTCCACCACTACTACCATTCTGGTCTCTGCCCCCACCCATCACCATTCACCAATAGGACTCTACTGGCCTCTGAATTCACTTCCCTGCTGAGAACCTAGTATCCACCAACAGCCAGACTGCTGCTGTGGAAATTAAAAACTAAGTCAGATCATAACACTTCTCTACTCAAAACCCTCAAAAGCTTTCTGTACCCCTTGGAACAGTAGCCAAGGACTTTACTAACAGTCACTTCCAATACAAGGCCCTCACAAACTGCCAGCCCCACTCTCTACCCCATTCTAGTGTCTGGTACAGAACCTGCAAAGAACAGGACTCAATACATTGTTGTCAAAGAAACTGAGTGCACTGAAGTAAACTGTCACTGAGGAGTACGGGTGATTCAACTTTCGCACCTGAGGTCCAAAATCAACCAAGCAAACCAACAAAACCCCAGAGCACACAAACAACAAAGCTTTTTTAAAAAGAGAGAACTTCTCCGGTGTTTCTTGGGAATGACGCTTGTCACCTGGATTCAATATCAGACAAAGAGATGTCACTCCAACTTCCTTCCAAATCCATATCTTGGCCAAGTTCATTGAATTTCTTATGGATTTCCTGTTGTAAGAGCTCTTTAAGCTCTGCTAGACACTGTGTGAACTGTGGGAGTGAAAAAAAGGACTGGTTTTGATCATTTCGTCATTGATCTATAAAGGCACTTCATTCCAATGCTAGGGACACAAAGATGGATCCGTTATAACCTGGGACAGTAAGCCCATGTTACCAGACACAGTGCATGCACCGTAGGTACAGGTAGACTTTTTCTCAGGGCAGGACATCAAGGAGACTGCTTCAGCCACTACTCTCTGGGCCACGATAAACTTTTAAAACAATGCAGTTGTCTGATTTGTTTTATAATTTTGAGTGGCAAGGAAGGAAATGTTAGAACGGGGTTCTTGAGATTTTTGTCTGCAGCCAAGATGATTTAACAAGCTGCACTGCGGTCAAATTCTCCTTTAAATATTCTTTATCTAATAATTGTGTTCGGGGTGGTGCATGTATTAATAATGGTTCCCAGGAAGGCTGAGAGAGCTAAGTTACAGACCATGAGTACAGATGTTGAGTGATGAAGAGAAACAGAACAAAGGCCAGAGGACCCCTGTGCTTGTGTTTTAGGGGAAGCTGAGGAGGAGAAGGCAGAAGAGGGAAAAGCAGCGGACAGGGAAATGAGAAGAGGTAACTGATGAGGCAGAGGGGTGGGGGGTCACTAAGTGCACAAGGGCAGAGCTGGTTTGGGAGCAAGAAACAAGACATCTGCTTTTGAAATAGGTGAAAAACGAGGAAGTCCCGACACTGCCCCAGGTAAGCTCTAGGGGAGGGAGGGCATGCTTAAGGAAGGTTTTCAGGATGGGTTCTATCTTCTTGGTGAATCAGGAGAAGTCCTGGTATGGTGTTGTAGAATCAGCACTGGACTGCTAACCATAAGCTCAGAAGTACAAACCCACCAACCTCTCCTTGGAAACCCTATACAGGGTTGTTATGAGTCAGAACAGACTCAATGGCACACAACAACATCATTTGCTGAGAAGCCCTGGTGGCACTGTAGGATAAGCACTGGACTGCAAACTACAAGGTCGGCAGTTCAAACCCACTAGCTGCTCCACAGGAGAACCATGAGGATTTCTGCTCTGGTAAAGATTTACAACTTTAAAAACCCTATACAGGGTCACTATGAGTCAGAATCGAAGGCAGTGGATTTTTTGGGGGGTTTTTTGCTGAATGTGTGTAGGCTAGAGGCTTTATTAATTCTGTGACTATAACACCTTCAGAAAAATGTTACAAGGAAATACAGATCACCTCTAATCCAATGGATGGACTTTGGGGTTGTTGTTGTGTGTCATCGAGTCAGTTCCAACTCATCGCAACCCTGTACAGCGTTTCTGAGGAGCGGCTGGCAAGTTTGAACCACAGACCTTGCAGTTCAAACTGCCCTTGAGGTCGAGTGCTCATCCTAGGGCACCACACCACGACTCCAGACTCTGGGGTAGAGTCACTGCATTGCTTTCTTTCTTTTTTAACTTTTTATTACTGGTGATCTTTATTTTTATGGTGGTTTTGGTGAAAGTTTGCAGAGCACATTCATAATTCATGCACACTTTGTTTTATGACATTGACTGAAATCTCCACAATGCAACAGCACGCTTGTCACTTCATCCCTGTTTCCTGTTTCCATCTGCCCTCCTTTCCTAGCCCTTCCTGCCTCTGAGCTTTGTCCCTGGGCAAATGCTGCCCTTTTAGACACTTACGGTTAATTGTTCTAAGGAGTGCGAACCTCCCTGGTGTAACTGTTCACCTTACAGGCCTGCCTGCTGTTTGGCTGAACATTCAGCCATGGGGGTGAGTTCAGTTCCAGGTAAAAGGTGACTAAGGGCCACAGTCTTGAGGATTATTACATTTCTTGAAACCTCATTCTTACCTTGGTTTGGTCAGGGTCGCAGAAATCCAGAAGGGTGTCGCAGACGTGATAGCCTAAGGATTTCAGATCCTCAAGAGTAAAGTGAGTGTCTCGTTTACTGCCTGGTTAAAAATCCAGAAATATTTCTCATTAAATCTTAATGACTGACTGCATATCTAATCTATGGATATTTCTTTAAAAATACCATCAAAGATTCTAGAATATTATGTTTCTGGATGGGGGCAGTTCTCTTTCTAGTTTTAGTTTAGTTCAGAAGACTCCCTGACAATAAAAAATAAGTTTATAATTACGTTGTTGTTAAGTGCCATCGAATCGGTTCTGACTTACAACCACCCTGTATAAGGTTTCTGAGAAGCAGCTTGTAGTTCAAACTGACCGTGTGATCCAGTGCTTATCTTACCATGCCACTATAATTACTGTCCACTACTTGTCTGTCAGTTTGGGGTACTTTTGTCACTTCTATGTGGCTGTGAACCTGGAAGCTATGCCACCAGTATTTGAAATGCCATTAGTGTCACCCTTGGTGGTCGGTTTTCAGCAGAGCTTCCGTACTAGCACAGACTAGGAAAAAGGAAAGGCAGACCACTTCTGAAAAGTTAGCCACTGAGAGAACAAACAAGATGGCGGATCGGGTGGACGTGTAGCAAAGAGCTCCGCCAACAACAACACAGAATACCCGACCAAGCAGGCTCAGGGGCTGGTCCCAGAACTCTGAACCACATATAAAGGAATACTTAAAAGGTTGGAAGGCTCACAGCTGGGGGAATTTGTGGCAGAAGCAAGAAACCCATTGCTTTCTAGTTCGGGATGCTCAGCTGCTCCAGGAGCTGCCATCTTGGGTGAGACCACGTGGGGAAAGGATCGGAGCAGCCACAGATGACTGGCAGAACCGCTGAGATAAAAGTGTGGGCATTATTTTCTTTTGGTAGCTGTTCATTGGTCCCTTGCTATCTGTGCACCTCCATTCTGGTAACTATAGGGGTGCCTGAGCTAGTGGGCACCATAGCCCCACCCTTGGAGGGTTCTACTACGCATGCGCACAGATCTCCTTGAAATTTAAAGAGACAGTTTCCAATTAAAACTAAACAGCCACAGCTGGCCCTGAACTGTTTACAACTAGAAAAAAAGGCCTGAATGGGGATTGTGGAGCAGGACAAGCAGACAAAAGAGGAAATAGGCCGAAAATTAAATCCTAAATTACGTCAAAACTACCAACAGTGTGATATCTTGAAATTTCTCAGGAAGAAGAGTGAAAAGGGAAGCCCATTTCCTGATCACATCTACCTGGAGGCATTCAAAAAGCATAAAAAATACCAAAATACACACCCATCTAAGTATTAAGGCCACAGATAACCCCGGAAGATGCCAAAAAAACAGAA